GGAATACGCACATATCGCGAGCTCTGAGAAATATCAGCATCAGCATCACATCACCATTGCGGGAAAGTAGGAAATACGCACCATCGGCAGGACTAATACTAATGCATTCAACAAACCGCGCCGGGTCCCCACCGCGTCTCTTCTGCTTCTCCTGATAGAACACCACTGCGCATATGTCGCGTCAGAGACCATCCATCGTCTACCGTCCAAAGCGCAAAATGTGGCTCACACAAGACACTTACACTTCTTCCTTATCAGAACCTCCGTCGGCGGATCTTTGCCGCCCACCTTCTTCCGTTGCAGCAGCTCCGGCACCGCATCGAGGAGCTCCTGCGCCTTGGCGCGATTTCCGAGCGAGATGTAGCACCCTGCGGCGATGAAGTAGTAGGTTGCGTGAGACCTGCGGTCTCGATAAGTACTCGAAATTTTGTTTGGGGGAAGGAAATGGTTTGTGATATACGGGGAGGATGAATGGTATATGAAAGGAAGAAGAGAGCAATGGAAGAGAAGGGAGGACACACCAAGAATTAAGCTCCGTCATCTTCACGAACGCGTCCGCGGCCTCTTGGTGCCGGCGCTGCGCGAGGAGCGTCCACGCGAGCTCGAAGACGAGCTGTCCAAATCAACGACAGAGGAGTTAGCTCAACAACACGGACGATATCATAAAATAAAATAAAAAGAATGAGAAGCGTCGAAACTTCTCTCCCAGAAGCAGCGCAGCGCGCGACGCTCACGAGGCGAGGATATTTCTGGACATATAAAAATGGGACGAGGATATTTTTTTCCCTCGGGCAAAAAGGGAAGGACGAACCGAGAAAAAGGAAGCAGAAAGAAGGGAACCAAGAAGGACGCACCAACGCATCCGCCTGCACGAACGTCTGTGGCGCCTCGAGCGCTTGCTGCAGCACCGCGATCGCGCCTTGCGGGTCGTTGGACATGCGTAGGACTTTGGCCTGTGTGTGATGTGTCAACAAGCGTTCCATCATCCGCATCGGTAAAGTGTGAAAGAGGGGGAATCGGGTGGGTGGGCGATCCAGTCTCGATTCAACGGCGTCGAAATCGTGATGGATATGAGACGGTGGAAAGGAAGGAGTAAGGAGGGCAAAAGGAAACAGTTACTTCAAGGCAAGGAGGAGAGAGGAAATTGCAACAATCAACCCACCCGATTCAATACCCACAATGCCCCCGTCGGGTAGCGCGCGTGGATCCTGTCCAAAAAGAATTGTACGTCAGTAAAATAAATAAGTCGCTCCTTCTCCGACTATGTGAATTTAAATCTAAATGTGAACCCACGGCTCGTTTCGCCAGCGAGTAGAGTATACGCGAGACGAAGGGAATAAGCAAAAGAAAAGAAAACCCACCCATCTACGATCGCCTTGTACACCCTCAGCGTGCGCGCCTCGTCCGCCTGGTAGCCCGCGAAGAGGAGGACGAAGCCGTAGTAGGTCATGAGGACGAGTCTGTGTGTCAAGGAAGTCAACATAAAAAGTCAGCATTGATACGCAGAGAGCGAGCGAGTTAATAATGAGGGGAACGGCGTACGCGAAGAAAATAAGCAAAACGTAGCGACCAAGCACAGAGTAAACGTGAGACACGACACGACAAATACTAGCACATAAATGTCGATGATACGAAAACAAGGAAAAAACAAGCAGGGAATAGTCGGAGCACAAAAAGGACAGACGCACCCCGCAAACACCCCATGCACGTCCTTCCCCGTCGGCGCGCCGCCCTCGCCAAGCGTGTTCACGCCTGCGCTGACCTGTTGTCGGAGCGTCAGCACGGGTACACTCGAATCAAAAGCGATAAGAGGGAGCGAAATATCAAGCAGGCGAAGTCCCCGGACTAGGCGCCACGGAGCCCGCACTTCGATGTCAGAGCGGCAGCATCGACCATCGACACCGACACCTCACACCCCATGCCAAACCGGATGTCAGATCCCGACAAGCGCAGTGCATCCATCCTCGTGGACAGGATCTCGACCGATCAAAAACAAATGAGGATGAGGATGGCGGACCAATTACACGAGGGGCAAACCCCAAAGTTCAAACGCACGCCGGATAAGAACAGCGTGGCCAAAAAATTCAACATCAACGCCAAAAATCAACGAAGAATCCTTTAGCGAATGTTTCGCGCAGGATTGTCTCGGGCAAGATCGTTTCGCTGAAGGCCAAGTGCTGGACACGAAGTTCCGCAGATTTGGCCACGAAGTCGCGAGCCAGAAACGAAAATAAAAATAAAAAGAAAGAAAGAAAGAAAAGCCAAAAAAAAAAAGGAATGAAACGCACCGCCAACGCCCTCAACGCCAGCGCGCGGTCGTGCTTGAACCCGAGGAGGCCGACGAGTGATCTATAATTTTTAGAAGCAAACAAAGGATCGTCAGTCAGTACTCTTTCATTATTCGCACCGCAACACGTGTTTGAGGAGAGAAGAAATAAGCATGCAAAGAGCAACGGCACTCGACCAGTGCGCACTCTCGTCAAGCTCCGCCGCCCGAGTGGAGCGCACAAGCGCCCATGCCCGTGCCGTTCATCACCAAACAGCGACCACGGACGACCGAGGATGGGCAAGCGCCCGTCGTAGAGCAAGAACACAGACGTATACCCGCTGATTCCCCCCCTTGCCGAGCACCACAACTCGTAGCGCCCGCGCCAGCGCGCGCGGGTCGTCAAGCGCTCATCCAACGCCCGTGTCCCGGGCACTCGCCGATAACGCCCACCCCTAGGTTTGTCCCACACCGCACACTGTGGAAGTGCCGGCACCCGCCCATCTCGACTCAGCTGCAGAAAACCGAGCAGCCCCACTCATCAAGTCCGCTCCTCTCCACTTGTCGAGTCCGCGTCCTCCCGCAGAAACAAAGAAAAACCGAACAACACGAAGGAAGCAGAGATAAAACAGAGGAAGGAAGAAAGAGAAGCACTCACTGCACCTTCTTCGGCAACAACGAAAACACGAGGTTGAAGAGGCCGAAGCCTGGTGGGGTGTTAACATCACTTTTCGCGAGAGGAAAAGAGCGCGGGGAAGGCAAAACGGAAAACAAAAACATGCCACCCGCGCAGACAAACAGACAAACAGCCCCCGAGCTGCCCGCAGCATACCGCGAGCTCCGCGCCCTAGTGTATAACCGCAGAAGTCGCGCCAGAATGCTCCAAGACGTGCGGAGCGACAGCACCACCAACAATCGCAACACCGTACGGAATCGTTGCAGCACGACGCATGAGACGAACCCTTGGGAGTCTGACCTCCGAGAGAAGACGCCACGCTCCGCGCGAATAAAGCAAAAAAAAAAAACCGGCCACGAATATAGCTAAAAGAAAGAAAAGAAAACTTACCAAACGCAGTACCCGCAACGACCATCTCCTCCACCGGGCCCTCCGCAGGGCGTTCCTTCTCTTTGCGTTCCGCCTCTGCCCGCTCGATCTGCGCCTTGTCGAGCTCCGCGTTCCTAGAACCAGACTTCGACACAAAGCTCGCGGTGCTCGCGTTCTTCGACCCGCCGAGGCCCAACCTTCCAAAAATTGACTTCGCTGGCGTTGGGGCCGGTGCGGGGACACCGATAGTCGAGGGCGCGGGGCTCGATCTGGAGGAAGAATTCGAGGGCGTAGTGGAGGTATTCGGAGTGGTAGGTGTAGAGACGGAGGTGGAGGCGGAGTTGGAGTTAGAGGTAGAGACGGAGACGGAGAGTAGGGCGGATGCAGAATTCGCAGAAACGGAGGAGGAAGCAGAAGCAGAGTACGCATCAAGCCCAGCAGGGAACACAGTCTTGTACAGTTTCGTGAACTTTGAGTGCGCGGCGTTGAGGGCGTACATGCATTGGAAGTAGCCCATGTAGGATTCACTTGAAGCCTCATTAGTATGGAATAATAAAAAAGATTTAAGGGGAGATGGAAGACGCACGACAACGCATGTGTAACCCCCAACAGCACCACCGCGTCTGCTTGTAGAATCTCGTACTCCAATCCAGGGGCGAATCGGCCCCCGCCGTCGCCCTTCCTGCTCTTGCCATTCTTCCCAGTGTTATTATTATTTGAATTGGAGTTCTCCCGCCGCGCATCCGCCACAGCGCGCTTCGCCCCCGCCTCGCTCGCGGCAAGCAACCTCATCGTCTCCGGCATCAGACCGCTCTCCATCCCAAGCGCGGCTGCGAGGAACGCGCATACGCCTAGGCCTAATACATGAAAAGGGGATTCAGAGAGGGAGGATGGCGGGGGAGAGAAGGCGGCGCGCGCGCGCGCGATGTCGTTGGCGAAGAGGTGGTCGAAGCCCGCGTTGGCGGACGCGAGCAGGAGGAGGATCGGGTCTGTTTCCATCTCCGTCTTCATCGTGCTCGTGCTCGCTGTCACTGATGTCGAGCTCACTGCTGCCACCGACGAGGAGGGTAGCGCGGACGGTGGAGACGACGACGAGCTCGTTGCGGTGCCCGACAAGGAGGATGAGGAAGGCGCTGGCATTGGGTTTGTGTTGTCCATGGCGATGGAGAGACGACAAGGTGAGGGCTTATGTCACCCATCATGTACGGCGGCCCGGCGTTTCGAGTTTCGGTTTTATTTCCTTGGGTTTACATATAATACCTGTTTCTTTGGGTACATGCAAGTCACATACCGGGCACCAGTGTGCAGGCAAAACCATTGGCAAAAAAAAAAAAAAAAAAAAAGAAGACGGAGAGAAAAACAACTCACCCCTAGAATATGCCACTGGTGGGATTCGAACCCACACTTTCCTCACAATCTTTGTCCGGAAGATTTATACACCCAGAGGACGATCCACCTTGATCCACAGCAGCTTGTTGAAGTAGATTTGGGTTTTATATACTGAACTCAGTTCCTCATTATTCAATATAGTCCCGTATTCAAGCAATTAGAGTTCAACAGTCACGAAATCAAGATTCCAAGCGATTGTAATTCAAACGTCAGTGAAGAAAAACTTCACAGGTGGATTGGATTTGAGCTGCAGAGATAATGCAGCAAAGTAAAAATAAAAAGTGAAAATTACCCGAGATATACTGCTGGTGGGGTTTGAACCCACGCCTTCCTCACAATCTCAAGCCATTTTGTCAACAAGAAGAGGATGATCCACCTTGATCCACAGTAACTTAAATACTATAAAGTTGTACTCCTTATACCCCACACTTCATAGAGCACTTTTTAAACATCGGAATCGGTGTACCACTCAGCCAGAATCCAGATTTAGACATCGGATTCGGAAAAACTTTAGTGATTGTTGAACTTGAGAGAAAAAACTTCGAGAATCCAGCACGAAAACACCAACCAAAGCCAAAATATAAAAACACATAAAAGGTGCGACAGAATGCTGCTGGTGGGATTCGAACCCACACTTTCCTCACAAGAGTCAGGGATCACCATCCAGATTGAGAGGACGCTCTACGTTGAGCCACAGCAGCTTGAGGACTGGGAAGTACTCATTATACCACACTTTTTGTTCCGGATTATTCAACACAGACCAGCCTATCCAAACAGTGATTCTTGAGTGTCGGCGGGCCAATTCATGCATTCATCAAAATTCAAGTCAAGTGGGTTTTGTATTTACCTGGAGCATTGGAATGCGGTGACACGAAATATCTTTTTAACATGAAAAAAACCAATGGCGACACCGCTGGTGGCCATGGGAGTCGAACCCAGACTTTCCTCAGAGTCATAATGCCGCGCACAATAGATTGAGAGGATGCTCTACATTGAGCCACAGCAGCTTAAATACCATTGAATTACATCACACACTTCCGAGTTCCATTCCGAAGGTGCGGTGCGCCACAATCTTACCTGCGGCGGGTAAAATACATACATCGGACACGGAGAACCAGGAAGTTCAAAGTTCATCTATTTGAATGGTACTCAACTGGTCGAGGCAATGAAAAGAAAAAAGAAACCATCACTAAAATGGAAGTGGCACTTCTATAAGCTGCTGGTGGGAATCGAACCCACACCTTCCTCACGCATGGTAGTGATGGTAGAACCATGAAAGGATGATCCACCTTGATCTACAGCAACTTACATTCTTAGCAAACTCTGGTCCTAATACCCCACACCTATTTCCATGGGCACTTTGACAACCAGTTCAAGTTCCACGCGAGAGTAGCGATGGAAAGTATATCGGCGACGGCCATAAATAGAAAGGGTTCAGCCATGTTGTGTCAGCGGGATTCAGATTCAGAGTCAGACATCGGGCTGGGGAAAACTATAGTGCTTGTTGAACTTGAGAGAAAGAACTTCGAGAATTTAGCATGAGAGCAAGCAGCCAAGGGTCAGAATATAAAAAGACACAAGATGCGGTTGAATGCTACTGGTGGGATTCGAACCCACGCGTTCCGCACAATCTGATGTCATTCTCGTCTGGTACGAAACATTGAGAGGACACTCTACATTGAGCCACAACAGCTTGCGTGTCACTAGATTTAGGGTCCTTATACCACACACATTCCTGAGTTGTTTCCTTTTTCCCTGGTTTGTTTTGGCAAGGAAGTCATGGTAAGCACGGGTGTAACTGGACGAAAGAAGAACAACAAAAAAGGTTGGCATCCATCGTATGCTACTGGTGGGATTCGAACCCACGCTTTCCTCACAAATTGGTGTACCCCTCCTGTCAAGCATGAAGACGCTCTACCTGAGCCACAGCAGCTTGTTACGCCTTCATCACAAACTTCCTTCAGTAATCGAGACAGAAGAGGATAATCCACCTTGACCCACAGAGCTTGCCACTATTGAATTAAATCCACATACCACACGCTCACCGAGCTCTTTCCGAATGCCGTAGGTTATAAGCTTGCCTCACGGAAGTAAAATACATATCGACAGAGAAACATCCACACTTGATCGGTATCCAACTTGGCCCCTCGATCCTCTCCCATATGGAGTGGGGTCGGGCCACGTATGCGAACACTCCCGCGCATGCAGCTCGCGCTAAACCTCATTCGCACCATGTACAACGACCCTCGTAACCCGTTTCATCCAGTGCCTGGCGTCCCACCTCGACGCCTCCTCTCCCGCAAATCTCCCTGCACAAGGCAATGAAAAAAAAAAAAAGATTTAGAACACATCATGCTGCTGGGGGAATCGAACCCACACCTTCCTCATAAAGCGTGGATGGTCGAATATGTTTACTATAAGAGGATGCTCTACACTGAGCCACAGCAGCTCAGGTATCATAGATTGGGTTCTTATACCACACCTTCCAAGTGGCTGATTATTCCACTACGAATTGTCCCTCCCTGTAAGTATTGCAACCTCCAAGTCACAAAAATATCCAAAAACCTGCAATATTGTCGAAGGCAGAACTTCATGGTGTACGAGTATTTGGATTTGAGAATACGGGCTAAAGAAGAAGAAAACAATCTCCGACCCTGTTATGCTACTGGTGGGAATCGAACCCACACTTTCCTCGTAATCCTGTTTCGACAGCTCATTAGATTGAGAGGACGCTCTAGATTGAGCCACAGCAGCTTGGCTATCATTGAATTATACTCGTTAAACCGGACAGACTTCTTGAGTCGCTGCTGCAGTACAATGCACTCTCAGATTGGAATTCTAAATCTCAGACTACTGTTATTTGGTTTGAATAAACTTCACAGATGGATTTGGATGAGAATAGAAGACCAAAAAAAGAAGTTATGGCTCATGCTGCTGGTGGGAGTCGAGTCCACGCCTTCCTCACAACACTGTCTTGTTCGTTCGAAACATTGAGAGGATGCTCTGCACTGAGCCACAGCAACTTGGATATGAATGAATTGTGTTCTAGATACCACATACATTCTGAGTGACTGATTCCGAAGGCGCAGTGCACCACAATCTCACCTGCCATGAGGATGAGTAAATAAAATACACACAGAAACAGGAACCTCTAGGCTCATCCACACTTGATCGGTACTCAACTGGGCAACACAGAGAAGAAAAAAATTATGGGAAAGCCATTGTATGCTGCTGGTGGGAATCGAACCCACACCTTCCTCACAATCTGATGGTTTATGTTGCCAAACATTGAGAGGACACTCTACAATGAGCAGCTTGCAGACCATTGAATTACGGACCATCTGGACAGGCCAATAGAAAAACACCTGTTCTGCAGGATTGAATCCAACAGCCGTCCCACGCGGTGCGCAAATACGCTTGTCTTGTTGTATTCGGCGTCTGGTGAGCCTGAAGGTCATATAACTCCCTGAACGCGGCCAACTGCAGATGATATGTGTCCTTACTACTTTGAGCTAGACTGGTTCAGAACTAGAGCGATGCATACTTGAACTGATACAAGTCCCGATGAATCAGACTCAAATTGGTTGTGTGTGAGCGATAGGCCGCTGGGTGGACCTGTTCCGGCCGCATTAGCTCTGGTTAAGGCAATCTAAACGCTCAAGAGGAACATCACCGAGAAGCCCGAGCCCTTCCAAGATCCCACCAAGAAGCCCAGTTGAGGGCGGATTCCCAATTAAATACGGCAAGGTGGGATTGGAAACGTCGCCGCTTCCGTGGCCATTCCGTATACTGGAAAAATACCGGGAGAGAACAGAAATGTGGTGAAAGAGCGAATAGACCGTACCCGTAAGGAGGCTTCAATTGAGTTGAGCAAGGTCACGATTCAGTTGTGGGATAAAATTGTGGTTCGCAAGGGAGTTCGGTCCGGGACAGGGCCACGGAAGTCATTGGGATCGGGCGCTCGTATGCATGGGGTCCAGTGACGTCGATATGCTAGGCTACGCTGTCGAACACCGAGGCCCTGCGTCTGAGATGATTGAAAAGGTTGCAGGATGTAGCGCAGCCCGAGAGGAGAAAGACTGGAGAGGAGCGACGGCATCGGTATTTCTGGGATACTCAGAGAATGCTGCCAAGCAACCAACTCCTCTACATATATATACTTTCTGCGGGGTCTGGAGCGGAGTAGCGACGTCCCAATAGGTCACGTTGACATTATAAATGGTGTCTCGATGCCCAGGGGAGTTCGACCGCCAATACTGTTATATTAACCCGTTGAAAGCCCGCGTGGATGCAAGTAAATTACCATCCTGTGTCCGTCAGTCTTCAGGGCCACAAAAGCCGCTCGGTGTCTGGATTTTCCCATACGGCTGGTGGGACTAGCATATCTATTACCTCCCCACCATGCGAATGTCCCATAGCTACAAGATTCAGCGGCCGAAGAACTTCTGTTTCAACCATCGGTTCACCTCACAGGGATCAGGCACTTTTTACCGCCGTTAATGGGTTTACTCGGCGCATCCAAGCGGATTCGCGTTTATTCGGAGAAGACATGATGGAGGTACGTGAGAAGCAGATTCTCGGCATGCACCGCGAATGAAGAAGCGAAGCATCGGCGCAGAAAGTCGGCTTATCCGATCAATCGGCATCCATCACTGTTGAGCCGAGATCAAGACATCAGGTCGCACTTCAAAAGTTCGAACACAGACCACTTGATTTCCTAAAGCCGACTGGGAAAAGATTTTCGACAGGTCGGCAGAACGCCGTATACGATGGCATTTCGATATTACTTATTCCTTCACCGTTCCAGGCGGAGCTCACATCAACACAATTAGGGAATAACGCGAATTAATTAGCTCCTAGTGTAATATCCAAGTACATATACAGAATGAGTAACAGGGAAAAATTGCATTGAGACTTAATTAGCAGTCAACCCGATGGATGAAGCGCGCAACCGCAGTCCATTTACTGCCGTCGGCGGAATACAAGCATCTCAACGCCAGGTCCCTGGAATCGCGGCGGAAGGTCTTTTCGGCAAGCCGGCGGAAAGAGTACGCAAGGACCCACGCAAGATTGAAGCGCGTGATGGGCCGGTGGGCGCAATTCGCGTAGAGAATATCCTCGATCTCCCCAACGCCCTCGATCTGGGCACAGAATGAGCGGGAAGGAGATTGAATCGTCAAGTAACACGTACCATCAGGGTAAATTTGATGGGTCCAAGAGGCTGTCGAACGAGCATGTAGTTCGCCTGCGTCATCGTGGCGGTAAACGAAATAATATCGGACACGTATACCCCTATATCGGTTGAACCCTCGTAGTGGAGATCGACGAACACGGGAGCGCCGGGCTTGGGGCCTCTGAAATGCGTGTCAGGAACGAGAGGGCTGGCGTACGGCAATTCTTTGCGGCGAGCATCGATGAAGGCGTCCATCTTGCATTCGGCACAGTGACTCGGGGGCGGAGCAGGGGAGTAATGTCCGGATCCGAAGTCTGCCAACTGCATGATTGCGTACGGATGGTTGGACCACTTGGAGGGTGCGTCCTCCGATAAATCCTAGGTGAGGATGCTGTGATTAGGATGAAGCAGGATGGTGGGAGCAGACTTACGGGTAGAGGAGGCAGTCTGCGTCTCATAGCATGAGTCACGAAGATGGGTGGCACGTTCCGAACAGGATCGTATACAGTCTGAGGTATGTCGTAGTGGATCTGAGGTACGCCGTAGTCGACGGCATTCCGGCGGGGCCTCTGCTCCGTCCGCTCTAGGTATGCGGCGTACTGTAAAGCTTTCTATGATATTAAAATTGTCACAAGGGTAAGAACGGGTGGCACGTTGCGACGAACCGCTTGGTTTTCGCGGTAGTTGTCTGGCATTACTTTGAGGATATTGGGAGAGCTAAGGAGTAGAGGGAGCGTCGTGCAGATGGACCGGCCAAGCAGGGGGAGGATACGTGTGGGATGCCACAACTGTGATACGTTGGTTCCTTTTATATATCTCAGAAACAATGGAACGGTCAAAGGCCCAAGCCAAACAAATACAGAACCAGCATTTCCAGAAATGGATGTGGCTTGGGCCACCTAGCCCCAAAATGCAATTAGAATTCAAACACAATGGGAAGATGCCGAAAGAAATTGAATGGTCCAGGCTCAATCTGGGAATTCAAGGTCGTCAAAGCGCACAAAGCCATAACAAGTCATTGCTTGCGATTCTTTTAACTGCCGTCATTCTTCACTCAATGTCACCGAGGCAAAGCATAAACATTACAGTAATGATGTGCCGCTTGAAGTGCGGACTTAATAATCGTCGGGTTGGTATCGGCCGCAATTCGCGAGGACATACGTATCCAAAGTATTCACACCGGTCCATGCAAAGGAGCAAGGACGGCCAGCAAAATTAAATTATAAAAATTACACAGAAGCCTTTTGTAACGCCCTTAAGCTTCTTTCAGGAATGGAATTCAAGTTGGAGTGACGAGTCGACTCACACAGGAGCTGCGCGAATTTCTTTCAACCCGTCCAAACATCACCTTTGATTTCCACGTTTCACTCTAATCGGAGGACGTGTCAGAACTCGAATCATGATGCTGGGGCACGATTGTTTTGAACCATTAAGATCATCCATCAATGTGGCGGTGTACATATGATTTGTTGGTTCGCAAGCTGGCGCCAAACAGTCGAACCCACATCTTCCTCCTCATCTTTTGCGTCGCGAACATCTACCCTACATTTAGCCACAGCGGCTTGCGCCCAGGTAAATTTGGGAACACTTCCCGAGTCCCATAATTTGACACACAGCCTATATCCAGACAGCGTCACTGGTGTGGATTTGGCGCCGTGGAGGGTGTATTCGAGTCTGATGGTGGATAACACGATATAAAATACGATTGATATTTCTGTTCAACGAAGGATTGCGCTTCAATTGGACCGGAACGCGACGTACATTCCGGCATCGGGACCTTCATCGCGGGTTTGTGGGGCATTTTTTGGTTGTATGTTATCCGAATGCAAAATCGAACACGATTTACGTGCTGGTTGAGTTTGGGTAGGCGCAATAGAGTCGCGATGAGTGCGGAGAAGAGGAAGAAGGTGGCGGTAATGACGTAATGACGTGGTTCTTTTAAGCGATGCCTGGATGACGGGTTGGTTTGGCCGGAGTCTCAAGCGGTAGTATGACCGGGGCAGGTCTGGGACGCTGTTGATCATGACATGAATCTGGACACACAAGTAAAGGATTTTGGAGAAGTCACGCTGAGATTCAGATTCGAACTTCGAGTGAGGTTGAGCATGTCCAAACGCCGATTCTTCCTGTGCCCACTATGTTATGATTCAACAGCTCAATGTTACGCAAGAACTCGGACATGGTTGTCATGGTTTCGGTGAATTTTGCTTGCATTGATTTCATTCATTCATTCCCGCACTGAATATAGGACTGGCTTCCACTCACCTTCAACGACTACACCACCATTCGGGAGAAATGTTTCCCACATGTTTCTGGCAGAATGTTTGTAAATAGTTGCCACAACATCCCACGAATGTTAGCACAACGTCACTAAAATAAAAAACGTCGAATCCCTCAACGCTTCGGCAACATACCATTGTGAAAACCTTCCTCAGATGTTTTGACGATATCGCGTACACATCACAAACATATTGAAAAACCGCGAAATAAAATAAATTGCATCAAAATTAACAAGCGTAGCTATAGGTTACTCACGACACTCCCATATAAAAAGGGTCAACACAGTGAGGTATTCACCGGT